AAATAAATAAATAAAATCTTTAAAAAAAAAAAAAAAAAGGGCGCCTGGGTGGCTCAGTGGGTTAAGCCGCTGCCTTCGGCTCAGGTCATGATCTCGGGGTCCTGGGATTGAGTCCCGCATCGGGCTCTCTGCTCAGCAGGGAGCCTGCTTCCCTTCCTCTCTCTCTGCCTGCCTCTCTGCCTACTTGTGATCTCTCTCTGTCAAATAGATAAATAAAATCTTTAAAAAAAAATAAAATAAAATGTGCTTGAAATGTAAAGTATTTAAGGGGTTTAGTTAAATTTGCTAAGTTAGATTTATGAATTTTTAGCAAAATCTGTGAATGTCTTTGTTTTTATGTGTTTGCTTTCTTTCAAAAGACACTGCATGTACAAAAACATGATTTCTAATAATTGAGGGTTTACATTATCTCCTTCGGGCTAAAGTTTTATTGTGTTTATTCTATGTAGGTAGTACATACAGCAATTAAAAATTGTGATATTAAGGGCTTTTTCTAATATATGCAAGCTCCTTCAATAAGTTTTCTAAATATTATAGCCAAAGTAGAGTTGTTTTTGTTGGGTCATAGAGAGTTATAGAAAATCATGACAGGAGAGGAGTCCATGTTTCAGTTTATGACTTTGAAATTATTGCTGTGAATTTTAGAATTTTAAAACTTGAAGTTCATTTTGGATATTATGTACGTAATGCTTCAAATTTCCATTACTTAATATTGTCTCCATTTTTACTTTATTTTGAATATTTTATTTTTATAAAATTGTTATTTTAATGGCTTCAGTCATGCTATGACAGATTTTGCCAGGTTAGGTTTGAAAAATTCATGGGTTATCTCCATGCATTCACAAACTAATCATTGTTAAAGACTCTTTTTTAAATTTAAATTTCTTCAGCTTTTCATTTTGAAAAAATTTAAACATACATGTACTCATTTACTCTTCACCTAAATACAACATTACTAATATTTTGCCATACTAGCTTCTCAGAACACTTGACTCCTAACTACTTTAGCATGCATATCCTAAAAATAAGGACATTTTTCTATTTAACTCAATACCATTATCATACTTAAGGAGACTTAAATTATCTTGATTGTATCATCTAAGTTCATATTCAGATATTTCTAATTGTCTTAAAAACGAATTTAAATTTTTCTGTTTTTGAACCAGGATGCAGTTGAGGTTCATACTTTGTATTTGATTGTCTTATTAGTCTAGAAGATCCTTCCCTGCACCCGCTTTGTTTTTCCCGCCATGATGTGATTTTAAAGAATCTAAATCACTTTCCTCCTATCCTTAATCTCTCTGTTCCTTTGACTTGTTCCATTTATTCTTTGCATTTCCATTGAACTGAAAGTGGAGTCTGTAGGTTTGATTAGCTTCAGCTTAAGTGTTTTTGGAAAGAATATTTCATGGGTAATCTTGTAGATTTTATATTTTATCACATTGAAGACACATTATTCTGGGCAGTTCAGTCAGTTAAGCACCTCTTTTTTTTTTTTTTTTTTTTAAGCATTTTATTTATTTGAGACAGAGAGTGAGCATAGCAGGAAGGGTCAGAGGAAGATGGAGAAGCAGACTCCCTGCTTGAGCAGAGAGCCCGATGTGGGGCTCTATCTCAAGACCCTGGGATTGTGACCTGAGCTAAAGGCAGACACTTAACTGACTTAGCCACCCAGGTGGTGGCCCAGCACTCAACTCTTGATTTCAACTCAGGTCATGAGCTCAGGGTTGTGAGATTCAGCCCCAGGTCAGGCTCCATGTTGGGCTTGGAGCCTGC